ATGAACCCAGCACAGATCAAAGAGCCCAGCACCAGAGCAATGTTTGAGACACTCAGTAAGCTGGAGAATACTGCCACAGTGCCTGCTGCCCTGGGTGCATGGCAGCTGCTTTGTTTGTGCCACTTTGAACACATTTCTGGACTAATTACTTTGTTAAATCAGAAACATATATGATGGAACCAATTAGCTTAACTGTATCTTGTCAACAACCACAGGTTAGCTCAAACATCTGTAGGACGCTGTGATATTGCCACTTTAAAGCACAGGGCAGCAGTGGCTACGTGTCTTAGATAAAATCCTGGCCTGCTGAAGCAATGAATTGTGCCTTTCCACATACCAAATTCCAAACTTATCAGGCACAGAGCCATAAGAGATAAGGAAAAAATTAGGAGTTTGCTGTTATTTTCTGAACACTCAGAGCTTTGCTTTCACAAGATGGGCACGGTGCTGTTCATGGAGGGCTGCAAGGGCCAGGCTGAACTGCAGCTGCATTTCTTGCAGAGCAGGAGCTGCATGGGCCCTGTGGTGTTTTCAGGGTCCCTAGACAGAAGAGAAAATTAACAATCTGACTCCATGCTCTTAGAAGGCTAATTTATTATTTTATGATGTTATATTAAAGAATGCTATACTAAAACTTCACTAAAGAATAGAGAAAGGATACAGACACAAGGCTAAAAGATAATAATGAAAGACTTGTGACTCTCTCTTCAGAGTCTGACACAGCCTGACCCTGACTGGTCATTAAGTCAAAACAATTCACATGTTGGATAAACAATCTCCAAACCACATTCCAAAGCAGCAAAACACAGGAGAAGCAAATGAGATAATATTGTTTTCCTTTTTATTTGAGGCTTCTCAACTTCCCATGAGAAGAATCCTGGGCAAAGAGGATTTTTCAGAAAATATGATGGTGACAGGCCCTTCCCACAGCAGGACACAACAAACCCTCAGGACCCCTCTGATGTTACCAAGAAAAGAAGTCCAAGCTTCCTCACCCAGGCCAATTACTTAGTGGGGAAAACGAGACAGCTTATCATCCATGGTCACTCCAGAGCCAGGTTTGTATGTGCCCAATCCCTCCTGCTCTCCACACTGCATCTAACACATTGAATTAAGCTTGGAGCTGGATCTGTGCTATACACAACATTTCTGGAGAACTGGAAGGACAGAATCACAATTCATTTGCAGTACAGATTCTTCTCTTGCTGCATTTTCAGCCAGTGGTATTCTGGATGCAATAAAATACAAGGACAGGGTCTTTAGCTGGAGCAAACACAAAGTAAACTCTACCAAGTACAATCTAAACACAAAAATCTCTTTTCCTGAGCATCACAAAAGCATTTGAAAGAATGTCAAACAGATGCCCCAAGAAAATTACTTCCCCTGCCTCTTTTCCCATCCCAAACCCTTATTATTACTTTTTGATTGATTTTTTTTGGCTCTTACACACTCTCATGCTGATCTTCTTAGGTGGGCTCTATACAACCTTCCCAGCTTTCTTTCATCCCTCTAGTGTTCTTGCCAAGAAATTATTCTAGTTTTATCCATTGCTAGTTTTATGAAAGGTTTCTTTTTTATTTCATAATAATTTTCTCTTGATCCAAAATGAACTAAAACTCAGTGGTTGGGTGTTTTGTTCTTTAATGCAACACTTGGTCTGCCAACAGCCTTGAAAATGTATTTCAGCCTTCTCTGTTTATTTGAAAGCTGTTTCTTCCAAGAAGGCTAAGAATAATGTGGTTACCATAGTTTCCTTATCCACAACCAATAAAATGCAGCTTGGAATACAATAAAACAAAGCTGAGACTACTCACAAAATGTGACTGAATGAGTGAACACTGAAATCTTCACCCTACATCACTCCTAGCACCATGGAAAACACTCAGGGCTAATCAATAGCCACCTTTTGGTGCAGCAGGGAAGATGAGGATAAAACTGTCCAACTACCAGTTATTGAGATATTTCAATTCCAACACTTTGGATGTCGGCTGCTTTGGAATTCCCACCTCACAGATTGAGTGTTTCACTGCAGAGATTTTGTGCTTTGCTGTAATGTCTTGTTCTGGGAAGCTTTGCTGAGGCTCACTGGAACCAAGTGATGGATTAATTACTGCTAGGAACTGGTTGACAAAGTAAATAATGAACTGTTTGTTCTTACAGTTTTGTTGGCTCCTGAACAGGCAAGATTCTAGGGAACAAGCCAAAAATAATCTTTCCTCTTTCAAGTCAACTGGCCAACAAAACCCCACATACACTTCAGAGATTATACAAATTACACCTGCTTTGGACACAACCATTTGCTTTCCTGACTACAACTGAGGGGATTTTAATAAAAGGAACTTTTAAGAAATGAAAGAAAAGCAATTGTTCTCAACAGTAATGAATAAAGAAAGAAACACCCACCACATGCACAATGGAGTGACCTGCTGGCAAATTTGTTTAGGAAAGGAAAGGAAAGGGAAGGGAAGGGAAGGGAAGGGAAGGGAAGGGAAGGGAAGGGAAGGGAAGGGAAGGCACAGAGCATATCCTATTTGATGCAAGCACCTGAGTGGGAGAGAAGCAGAATCCTCCTCCCACAGACTCAGTGCATGCTTTGGGACTGACCCCTGTGGTGCCTGGGACTCTCATAAACACACCAGGTAAACATGGAAGAACACAACTCAAGATTTTCTGGTGTTCTGCTCGTGTTTTCTTGCCAGTGACAACAGCCCAAGACCACTGAGTTTAAATTAAAAAGCTCTGGCCATGGTTTGATAACCCCTGGATGTAAGCAATAGGAAAAGAAAATAAAGCAACTCCCTTCCTCAGCCCAGGCACCCAGGGCTGTAGGTGGGGATTCTGAGCAGAGGGAGCAGGAGAACTGCTGGAAGAGCATTTGCTGCTGTTGTTTTTGAAGAAAAGCTGTTACCCTCACTGTGCAGCTTTCTGGAGCTTTGTCAGACCCCAGGAACACCATCAGTGGGTGTATCAAACACACACGCTGAGAGCCACACTGTTTCAGTTAGAGAAGGTATTGCACAAGAAAATATAACACTCCTTTCATCCCTGCCTTCTCATCTTGGGAAGGTCACGTGTAGGAATACACATGAGCAGAGGAAAGAGAGAAAAAGGTGTAGGAGTTCAAGAGATCACTCATGTGGTGAACATGCTCCACTCTTTCATGTTCACCTCACAGGAAAAGCATTCTGTGTGTAGCAGGATACCAGCTCTAATGCACAAGATAAAAAATAGTACTTTTACAGGAAAAACATCTTAGATCTGTTAGTGTTAGCTCATGGCATTGCTTAGACCAAGTAGTACATTTTTAAACTGCTGATGTCAACTTAATCAGGATCAGCACTATAAAAGAAAATAGCTAAAAGACAGGTGTCGCAGTAAGGTAGAAAAATTATAAAAGCAAGGCCTCACAAAATCAGCCCTGCTCCATTAAATGGATAGCTAGCCTGTCATTTCTTCTAAGCAAAGCTAGCACTTTACAAATTCCCATGTGAAAGCTATCCTGGTGTGAGCAGTTCCTTAACATAATCTATTCCTAGGTGAAAAACAAGCAGTACCTACATAAACATTAAATCCATCCCATGAGAGCCAGTGAAGAAAACATGTAAAGTATTTAAGAGTAGAGAGATTTGATGGACAAGTAAAATACCTTTTACTAACCAATAAAGTAATAAACAAGAAAGCTACTGACCAGCTGGAGTCACACACAAGGTCTGTAACACTGTATAAAAAGGAGTGAATATGTGAAAAAAGAATGGGCTTTTTCCAGCATGAAGAAAATGGAGTCCTGTGTGATTTATTTCAATAGACAGGTCTTTCACATCCCCTGAGTGAATATCCTGGGGAGCAGAAGAAACAACAAAGACCAGACCTGTAGCAAACTTTGCACCCTCCTTATCTATGAAAAAGAAACAGGTAGACCAGGGATTTTTTTCAACATTTCCATTATGCCATCAGCACAACACAGTCCAAATGTGAACTTGTTCATTAATGTTTTTAACAAGTTCTTTAGTGTTTTTAAACTTCTCAATCAATGACACCCAAGAGGAGAGGCCCTGTGGCTCTGCATTGCCTTGGGGACAAGGCAGCAGCCCCTTTGTCACCAGGCTGTAAATGGTGCCCACAGTAAATGACATTTAAAGCCCCATCTGCTGTGCCATGACCAGCTTGGCTGTGGTTCCAGACCCAGACCCAGACCCAGACCCAGACGCCTGGCTGTGGTTAGCAGAACTAGACCCAACATTTTGGCTGTGGTTACACAACCAGAATCAGCAGCCTGGCCTTGGTCCCAGACCCAGCAGCTTGGCTGTGGTTACCAGAACCAGAACCAGAAATCTGGCCATGGTCCCAGGGCCAGAAGCTTGGCTGTGATTAGCAAAACCAGAACCAGCAGCTTGGCTGTGATTACACAACCAGAACCAGACCCAGCAGCCTGGCTGTGGTTAGCAAAACCAGACCCAGCATCTTGGCTGTGGTTAGCAGAACCAGACCCAGCAGCCTGGCTGTGATTAACAGAACCAGAACCAGCAGCCTGGCTGTGGTCCCGGAAGCAGAAGCAGACCCAGCAGCTTGGCTGTGCTCACAGAACCAGAACCAGGAGCCTGGCTGCGGTCCCAGACTCAGACCCATCAGCCTGGCCACAGTCCCAGGGTCAGACCCATCATCCTGGCCATGTTCCCCGAGTCACTCCCATCATCCTTGCCACGTTCCCAGACCCATCAGCCTGCCCATGGTCCCAGATCAGCTCCATCATCCTGGCCATGGTCCCAGGGTCACACACATCATCCTGGCCATGGTCCCAGGGTCAGACCTATCATCCTGGCCGTGTTCCCAGACCCAGATCCATCATCCTGGCCACGTTCCCAGGGTCAGACCCATCAGCCTGCTCATGGTCCCAGATCAGCTCCATCATCCTGGCCATGTTCCCAGGGTCATACCCATCATCCTGGCCATGTTCCCCGCCAGCAGCCCCTGCCCTCCAGGCCAGGAGCACACCCACCCACCTCGTTGATGGCCAGCTGCTCGCCGCCGCCCCCGGGGTGGCCGTAGCGGTGGGTGGAGCTGCGGAAATCCTCGTACAGATCCTCCTCACTGCCCACATCGTCCGTCAGGGCTGTCTTGTCCAGGCCTCCGTCAGTGATCACTGCAACAGCAAAATGCGCACATTGGCACACAGCACAGCATTCAAAAAAAATCAATGATAAAACATATTTCTCCATGCCACTCTATATATAAAACCAATTTTTTTAATATAACACTTCTAAATTTTCATGTACATTTAATTCTATTTCTCTTCAATTACAGCAAAAATTATTTTTCATTTACAAAAACAAAATGTAAGCTATTATTCCATCAAACATTAAAAATAACCTGTTACAGATATATTTTATGAAAAAATCCTTTCCTTAGGATTTTTCCTCCTGAGAAGCTGGGAGGCCTCAGGAACAAAATGTAAACAATTATTATCTCCTGCTGTGGAATGCAACAGGTGCATCTGGGATTGGCTTATGTTAGATGTTTGTAATTAATGGCCAATCACAGTCAGCTGGCTCCGACAGAGAGTCCAAGCCACAAGCCTTTGTTATTCATTCTTTCCTATTCTATTCTTAGCTAGCCTTCTGAGGAGATCCTTTCTTCTATTCTTTTAGTATAGTTTTAATACAATATATATAATAAAATAATAAATCAGCCTTCTGAAACATGGAGCCAACATTCTAGTCTCTTCCCTCATCCCAAGAGCCCTGTGAACACTGTCACAGAAACCTGTATAATTTAAAAACTTACATTCTTAACTCCTGATATTAAAATAATTACCCATGTAAACACACACCAAAAAATCATTTATTCATCAATATAAATCAAAATATAAAAATAAGCCTTAAAACTTAAAAAAAAAATCAGTGCTGCCTCAGTAGCACTGAAACAGGATGGCAGCTCATTGGTGCAAGGGGCACTGTAAAGCAGCATAAAGGGGAAAAAGACAAGGAAACTATAGGAAATTTTGGGATAGAATTCCACCTTCATGCATGCCTGTTCTTCAGAGAATTTTTCTCCACCCATGTTTAACCCACATAAATGATTGTGTCTTTTTCTAGACTGGAAAATATGATTTAAAACAAATTCAACAACTGCTGCATGTTGCAAAGAAAAGACCAAGCAAGAATAGCAAAACAAGGTCTGAAAAAAGGCACAGGCAATGATGGCACAAGTGTGATTTTATTAGGACCTTGCTGGAAACTGGACTAGGTAACAAGAGCTCATGCCTGCCACTTCATGCCTTGAGGATTATGATTTGCCAAATCCTATCTGGCCAAAGGAATCCTCAACCTTTGGGAAAAACCTTCACCTTCCTCTTTGTCCACACACTTATTTGAGAATCATTTTTAATGCCTAAAAGGGTGTTTGCTCCAGAATGATCCATTATTACCACAGGAAGGCCATTCTGCTCAGCACAGCCCCAGATAATGGAGGGCTCACAATCTGCAGCTACAGCAAACACTAAAATCTCAAGCCTGAGAGAAATAAAAATGTGGCATTTATACTCCTTGTACAGAAGAAAGTGTCACTGCATCTGTTTCATGGGCAGGATCTTTGTCCTAAAGTCTCCTTGAGGTATTAGCAAACACCCTGCAGTGCCATGTGTGCCATCCCATCCCTGCGCTGGTTACTGAACATGAACCTTCTGTTCTGAAACCTGTGACAAATGACAGTGATTACAGAAACCACTTGCTGACATATTCCTCTGGATTAGCAACTGCCAGGGCAACAGTTTCCATGACAAAGCAGTGGGCTTGACAAAGATTCCTGTGCATGGAGCACCTACACAGGCATGGTGCAGAGAACAACAGAATATTCTAGAAACTGTGATTTCAGTAAATGGACTTGACATGGCTACAAGAGTAAAACTGAATGAAAACACCGACATTGCTATCAGCACACCTGGCAACAGTCTTGGCTGTGCCAGTTACATCATGTGAGCCTCCAAATTTTTGAGGAGGCAGAACAGGTGAAAAAAACTTTTGAGCTTGATCTTGTAGAGATTTAATAGGGAGAGACTCACAAAGCTGGTGTTGAGCCCTCCTTTCCCTTCCTAATGCAAGTGCATCTTATGCACATAATTGTGCCATTGGGTCAAAAAAAGCACCTCATGATTTATTAGCTTATTAATTACCTGAAACCAAAGCTGCACCACATTAGCACTGAATAAAATGCTGACAGAGCTCCAGCCAGGCCTGCAGAGTTTGTGCCCACCAACACTCTCAGTACCTGGGATGGTTTGTTAAGGCTGCACCACCTGATCTCTGCTATTTACAGGGAGGTGGGAATTCAGTGTAGCACCTATCAGTTCAATGCAGTGACCTGACATCAAAATGATGAGGATGAGCTATTTTTAAACTAAATACTTGCTTGTTTATGCTTTGAATTCAATACATTGGCACAACACAGCAAAGATTGTCTGAAGCTGGGACTGCACTTGGTATTGATGGCAATTCAGGACACAGAGGTGCAGATGAGCTTATGATTAAAGCAGAATTTCCTGAGCAAGTATGGAACTACCCAACCATTCAACTTTAGGTGACATTTCACACAAAAATCAAGCATTCCCCTAGCTTTGCTCTGACACCTCACATGTTCATTATCCAGAAATTCTGCACTGAATGTGTGCCACTAGTATAGATTGCATATAAAGCAATTCTGGGGTTAAGACCTAGTCCATTAATATAAAACTCAAAACCAGCTGGAATACCACTGATATTATAATTTCATGCAGAGTCACTGGAACTTTTAAAACTAAATTCAAGGGCATTAAAGGTATCACTTTTTGCTCACACACTGTCTGAAAAACCTTTGATAGTAATGAACAATTTCCAGTGTTTTAGTGTAGCACAGAAACAAATTAAAAATGTTTTTCAAGAACAAATAAAAACAAATCATTTATAAGAAGCAAGTCAGCAGTCACTTAATTCAAAAGTCTTCTGCAGCCCTCTGATCTCATTCTTTTCCCTTATTTTATACACGGCTTCATTGCTTTGCCCTTACACATCTTCTGCTATTTTCACTGCTGAAAGTAACCTTCAGCTTGAAAAATGTTTATTGGCATCTTTAAGGCTTTTGTTTTTTGCCCCCACATTTTCCTATTTGTTCTCTGAGCTGTGCTTAGATGAAAAAGCAAAAGCTCCAGGGAGGTATTTATCTGTGTTACTTAAAATGCTCTATACCTCTGCTAAGTGCCTTGAAAGCTGTGCTTGCTTTTACCAGAGATCTGTTTTTCCTCTCTGATCTTACCAAGCTCATCAATTCTCTGCTGTCTCAAGACCTGCTGCTGCATTTGGGATTAGTTTTGCTGGCAAAATAAAAAGACATATTGCACCAAAATTATACTTCACAAGCATGAGAAAGTTCTCCATCCTTGAGGAAGAAGAGCCCAGGATAGCCATTGCACATCTTCCCAAACCAATGCTGCAGGGAAGAATTACATTCATGAAAAATAAGGGTTTGCTCTGAAGCAGGTTAGATGAAAGACATGACCACAAATAAATAAAATAGCAGTCTGGAATGGTGACCCAATGCACTAGAAAGCCATCAAGGAAGTAGGAGAGTGAAGGCTTTTAGTGTAGGAACTGACTTAATGTGCAAAGCACAAACTAGGTCAAGTAGAAAAGAGGCAAGCACTATACAAGAATCTTAGCAGACAAGTTAGCAGAGATTGCTGGAGCAGCCTGTCCTGGCTGGACACTGTGAACCTGCACAGGGATAACTCAGGTGCTGCATTCCTGCCACCCCAGGTGCTCATGTCTGACACTGAAGTTCAGTGGCACAGCCATGCCTGGCCTCTGGAGCACTGACCTGCCCTGGCCCTGCCTGCCAGTCAGGCCGCACCAAGGAACAACGTTCTGTCAGAAAGTAAAGCCAAGCTTCAATTAACTCAAGCAGATTTCTTCATATTTATACCTCTGTCCTGATAAATGTCACTAAATGTGGCAACAATTCCCACACACAGGAACTTAGGGAGGGGGAGTAACCAACATTTAGTACTACAGCCAATATGTGCAAGAACTAAAACTGTTTCCTGCTGCTGTTAGTCCTAGCCCAAGCCTGGATTTCTGTCATTCCAGTACAAAAGCAGATGGATAATGCTATAGCAAGAGCAGCTCATGAAAGAATGCCACACAAACTCTTTTTAATGCATCCACACAGATAAAGTGTCAAAAACCGGACTCCATGAAGAATTATCTTGAGGATGTGAAGCTTTAAAACTCATACAAAATGTGTCACTGGAAGCAGGGAATGGCACAGGTGCTGCACTGGGCTGCTTTCAGGGATGACAAAAGGGAAGGGTTCTGTACAAACCAAGTGAAGCTTGGGCAGATGGTGCAGGGCAAGGGCTCACCCTGCTCATACCTCCCCACAGGTCTGGAATGCAGCTCTAAGCAGGCAGCTGTGGGAAGGTCCTGCTTGGGCCCTGCTTGTGCCCCTGCCTTGCTGAAAGGTGCTGCCAAGCAGCTCCAGAGGTACAGACACACAGTTCCAGAGCTCCCCATGGCACCAGGAAGCCTCTGGAGCTGTTACCAGCCCTGTGCCTCACAGGGAAGAGCACTCAGAGCCCAGAGGGAGGGACAAGCCCCAGCTGAACAATTCACTGCCACCCTCCATTCTGCTCAGAGGTAATTTGGGTCATTGGAGGGCAGCTGCCTGCATGGGGGGGGGGGGGGGGTTGCACAATCCCCAGGTAACACTGCAGAACAAACAGTGGGGCTGCACTGGGACAGCCTTGACCTTCACCACCAACAGCAATGGCAGAGAGGGGAAACCAGAGAAAAGGTTTTGTGTTGTTCATCAAACTGGTGGGAAGATAAAGTTGGAATTAGATGATCTACTGGAGGTCTCAGAAAACAAATGTTAACTGCAGTGCAGAGATCAGCTGAGACCAATGTCACCAGTTCCACACGTCTGTGCCCTGCTCCTCTCTCAAAGGATGGACCTGCCTCACACATTCCATGTGCCAGCAGTTAGTGAACACAAGCTGCTGTCAAACAATCAAAAAAAATAATAAGCTCAAACAAAACCCCAAATCAAAGTAACACCCAAAAAACTACATACACCTACCCCCATAAAAAAATAAAATTAAAGGAATATAATCCC